CGGCGCCGGAATTCCCGGATATTTGGGAGCAGGTTGGTCCATGGGAACCACAGGGGGATTTAATGCCCCAAAACCCTGGAAAATAGCCCCAAATCCACCCTGGAAGAGGCAGGGCCGAACGTCGCTCCCAAAGAGCTTTTCCAGCCCATTCCAGGAATATCGCTCCCAAAATAACCCGGAGCGGTTAAATGACAAAGTTCCCGGGATGAGCGGAGCTTCCCGGCGTTCCCGTTTTTGCAGAGGCTCCCGGGAGCGTTTGGGCCGGAATCGGGAGCGCGCGGAACGCCGGGATGGCGACGTGTCCGGGTCAGGCTGCTCCTCGTTGTCCCCCTCGTTTGGGGGAAAACCGCGGCGTTTTGAGCAAAACGGGGCTTTTTTCCCCCCCCGAGGAATTCCTTGGAATCCTCGGAAGCGGGATATTCATTAGGAAAACCGCAAAGGAGCAGCCGGGGGTGGGATTCCCCCCATGCCGGTGCCGCCGTCCCGACTCCTCCCGCCCTCCCGTTTCCCTATTTTCCGCCTCGGGAATGTTCCCAATGGGAATTCCCAGGAATCCTTGGAGCTTTTGGATGCTCCATGTTTGTGCTGCCGGGTGATTCCCTCTCCCTGGGCTGCTATTCCTGCGGGTTTTCCATGTTCCTCTCCTTTCCCGATGCTCCCCTACCCCCATATTCCTCCCATATTCCTCCCATATTCCTCCCATATTCCTCCCATATTCCTCCCATATTCCTCCCATATTCCTCCCATATCCATGGATTTGCTCTCAACGTGCTCCATGCCGTTGCCCTCCCAGATCCCGCTTCACCGAGGAAGCCAATTCCAGGGAATTCCAGGGAATAGGGGCATCCCGGACGCTCCTTTCCCTCCTTCTCCGACTTCCAAGGAATTCCCTTCCCAACGGGCAATTCCAGGGCCTCTTCTCCCTATCCCTGGCCCTTCATCCCGTCGCGCCGCTTCCCGCCCCGCTCCGGAATTCCCGGCGGGAAGGCGGGAATGGAGCCCATTGCAGCTCTTCCTGGCTGCATGGATGAAGTGTAGGTGCAAAAACATTCCGACCTGGGATCAAATCCATGCATTTTTCCTTGTTGGGATGTCCTCTTCCCGCCTCGGAGTCGCTCGCTTTGCGCTATGGATTGTCCTGGCTTCCTCCTTCCCCTGTGCAGGCTTCCCAGAAATGGGAATTCTCCCGGGATATCCCATGGCACAGGCAGGCTGGAGCAGGGAGCGGCTGCAGACGGGATTGGGAACCCGCTCCCAAAGGCAGGAAAATGGAGCTGGATCTGCAAGGAAAACGGAACCAAGGGCAGGATGCAGGGATTGGATAAGAGCAAAATGCGGGATGCGGGATTGGATAGGTGCAAAATGCGGGATGCGGGATTGGATAGGTGCAAAATGCGGGATGCAGGGATTGGGTGAGCGCAAAATGCGGGATTGGATAAGCGCAAAGTGCGGGATGCAGGGATGGATAAAGTGCAAAATGTGGGATGCAGGGATTGGGTAAGTGCAAAATGTGGGATGCAGGATTGGATAAGGCGCAAAATGCGGGATGCGGGATTGGATAGGCGCAAAATGCGGGATCGGATAGGCGCAAAATGCGGGATGCGGGATCGGATAGGCGCAAAATGCGGGATGTGGGATTGGATAAGTTCAAAATGCGGGATGCGGGATTGGATAAGCGCAAAATGCGGGATTGGATAAGCGCAAAATGCGGGATTGGATAAGCGCAAAATGCGGGATCGGATAGGTGCAAAATGTGGGATGCGGGATTGAATAAGTGCAAAATGCGGGATGCAGGGATCGGATAAGCGCAAAATGTGGGATGTGGGATTGGATAGGCGCAAAATGCGGGATGCGGGGATCGGAGAAGCGCACAATGCGGGATGCGGGATTGGATCGCGCGCCGGATCCGCGCCGCCTCTCCCGGGATCCCCCGCGCTTCCCGCCGCCAGGAACGCCGGCCCGGACTGCTACCCACCCTCCACGTCATTCCCATTCCTTGCCCTTCCAAGCTCCCGTGCGCGCCCTGCGCTGCCTTCTATGTTCAAAGCTCCCCATTCCCGGAGTTATCCCGCCTTCCCCGAAGGAATTCCAGCTGCTCTGACCTTTGGCTTCCAGTTTCCCAGGGGATTGCGGAGCCCGGGGCCTTCCCGGGATAAATCTGCCAAAAAGGGGGAATTTGGAGAGGGGCTTTTAACAGCCCGGGGGATTTCGGAGCTGCTTCCGTGGCTTTTTTTATCCCTTCGGAAGGGAATCCGGGAATGCGAGCGCAGCTGGCGGGGGCCCCCCTGCTCCGTGTTAAAAAGAGGCCGGAGCCCTTAAAATTCCCGATAAAAATAACCCGCTGCTGCTTTGTGTCCTGCGGAATTCCTCTGGGTTGGAATGTGGGAGCGGCTCTGCCTCCCGGCGGGATGGGGGGAGGTTTTTTTCCCTCTTTTCCCGTGTTATCCCGGGGGATTCCTCCTTGTTTTCCCGTGTAAAAGGGCGGATGGGCTGGAGAGGTTTGGGCTGGTGTCCGACTGCGCTGTAACGAGCGGGATCTTCCCGCATCCCGCGGATCCCCATGTGCATCCCGTGTCTCCCGCCATTCCCAGCCTCCTAACGCTGTTCCCTTCCCTC